CCTGATACGTCACCTGCAGCGAACGTGGCTGCAGGGTCTTCCTCAGCGTGCAGGGCTCAGAGCAGGATCCTCCTCCCTCTGGATTGCCCACTGCCAAGGAAGGAGCAGGCACAGGGGCACGGATGGGTTTTTTTTTGTTGGCACATTCTAATGTGAAGGGAAAAGGCAGGAGGACACAGCGCGGACTGTCAAAGATGAGTTGGGGAATCACGTAAGGATTTTCTCATGAGATAGGAATAAGGAAGCACTTGAGCTGAAAGGTTGATTAAAATTGAAGTTACTGCTTTAGGATAAAAACAAAGCACTTACTTAATCTCACCATTCTGGGGTGACCTGCATACCTGCTCCCAGATTCCTGCTCCAGTGAGTTGAATAATATAAAGAGATCTTTGGCCTGTGGGGGAGATTGCTGGCTAGAAAGCTTTGAACAGAGCACGTTCATCGCAGTAAGCCTATGGGTGCAAAATGTACATTCTTAACTAGCTGTAAAAGTGAGAAACCATCGAATAAAGGGGAAGAATCTTGCTGCCCAGACAAACCACATTCCGCTTCTGGGTTTGGAAATGAATTGATAGAGCAAATGGGTCCAGAAGCCAGATGTCTGCCTTCATCTCTGCACAGAAACTGGAATAGTGCCCACAACATCTACACCGAAATACTTCCTTTGAAAGCTCTTTGTTAATCGCTTTCCAACAAGGCCAGAGACAGCAAATGTGAAAAACTGATGCCATCTAATGGCCATTGGAGTCTTTACTTTCAAGGGCTGTTTTTTACTTTGGACTTGACCAGAATTTCGATGCTAAGTGAATACCCTTGAATACACATTGCTTCTTATAGATACAGAGAGAAGAAAGGAGCAATTAGCTGTAAAGGCACTTGGATACTCATCCAAGGAAATGAACTTTCTCTCCTCCTCCTTCACAGAATTGCCCTGGGGAGCTCACTGCTGTAGTGTGTTTTTATGGGATTAAACATATAGATATTTAATGGGTAATGCTAGAGCTATGTTAAACTATGTAAGTGGAGGGGGGAGCATAAGCTGTTACCACGTGTGCCGCAGATCTCATCCTACAGCTTCGTTTTGTTTGTTTATAAGTTGACAAAAGCTTTCCACGCTGTGTGCTCTTGCAAGGCAGAACTGCTCGGATGTGTTGGCATTCAGTCTGCAGATACAACACTTAAGGCTAATGCAATTGTACAGTTTCAAAGAACAAAGCTATAGGACAATGTACAACTTGATCCATCTTGCATTTTGGCAATCTTTTATTTTAGAGACTTAAATTCCTGCTAATTTCCACAGATTTTAGCAAAGGAGTGAGTAGCCTTTATACTAGGGATTTGTTTTCACTCTTCTTGTAAAAGTCTGTGCAAGTTGGGCTGATCTGTAAGTCCCTGAGAACAAGAGTTTATATGAGCTGTGCACGAGCTCAAACGCTGGCCAAGCCTGTGGCCCTGTGCACCGGCCGGCCGCGGTGCAGCCGCCCTCCGCGCGCGATTTTAATCCCCCAGCAGCTTTTAATTCGTGCTTCCTAAAGCGGTTCCACACCTGGCTCGCCGGCAGGCGCCCCCGGAGCGCTCGTGCCAGGGTTGGTTGGCTCCTGGCTGAGCTCGTTCCTCTCGCAGCGCGTTGCTCCAGCGCGACCAGGACACGAGCGCTCCTCGCCTCCCGCACAGTGACGAGCTGGCACCGCAGGACGGTGCTGTCCCGAATGGCCCCGTCCGTGACAGCATCCCGTCTCCTCGCCTCAGCAACTGCACTTCGGGCTGCTGCAGCAAAGGAGGCAAAACCCATTTTGCTGCCGGAGCCCCACGGGGAGAGCCCCTGCGGGCAGCTGGGGGGCATCACCCGCTCTCCGCTCGGATTGAGTTGTACTGTCGCACAGGGGCAGGAGCGGGGTGTAAATATGCACCACCTCAGTTCCTTAAAAACATTCTTACCCAATAGCTTGTGTGCAATTCCTCATGGGACACACTGCTTCTTCTCTGACTTTCTTGGGTTGAGCATTCTGATAGCAAGAACGGCCACCTATTAGTAGCAGTAATTACTACTCTTGAGGTGTTGTGTCAGTGATCTGTTTTCAAGCTGGATTTTCCAAGGCCTCCTACAAGACCACGTGTTGAGCCCTAACATCCCTTATGCCTGCGATGAGCATCTACCTTGTGTCCATGCTTAGGCTGTGGAATCTCTCTTGCAGCACTGGAGGAACAAGGTCCAAGTGCACGTGAAGAGGCTGTTGTGGTTCATGGACCCTTGGAAAAAAAGGGAATTCGCATCAGAACAAAGCTATGGAGGCAGTCAGCCTTAGAGGGCAAGTACCCCAGCGTTTGATACGGCGTCCACTGTCATGTCACAGCAGCACGGAGCAGAATGTAGCTGCTCCTGGAGAGAGAAAGAAAACAAAATACTGAACCCTCTACACTGGGACAGAGCTCATGACAGAGCTGGATTTTGACCTCTTTGCAAACAGAAAGAAAGGCTGTTTTGTGGAAGGACAAAGCAAACAAACGTTACATTTTACAAAGCGGACACAGCTCTGAACGCATCACACTTGAAATGCTGCTGCCTCGGAGGGGCTGCGGTTTACCCCGTGCTGGCCGGGTACAACATGGGTGTCTTCAAGTAACTTTGGAAGAAAAGCTTTACTACAAAGACCTCTATTTTCATATTTTTTTAAATTATTTTTAATGTTTTTAGGGAAGTTCACCCATGTTGCTCCCCTGCTCTGCACCTGCACATCTGCCCCGGAGCTGCGGCTGCAGCAGATGCCCTCGAGCCTCGGTGAGGGAGCAGCACAGGCACAGCCCTGCAGGCAATTCCCTGCTTTTGGCCACACCATTCACCTCTCCCAAGACAGAAAACAATAGTTTTTAGAATATTTTTTCTAAATATTTTTAGAAAAAAAATTTTTTTAGAGAATTTTTAGAATAAACTCATGGAAAAGCCCGTCTTTAGCATAAAAACTTTACACATAGTGTTCAGAACCAAAGCATCTCCTTACCAGGAAGAGTTGCAAGAGTCCTGTCCAAACAAAAGGCTGCTACACAAAGTCCATCTATTTAAAATACTGTTTATTTGTGATTTAACATTAATTAGCATTACATCTATGAGCAATTTCAGATAACATTTATATATTTTCCACAGGACACAGAGTTGGCTGGCTCATTCTTTATGCCAAAGCAAGTAAATAGAGGCATTAGCAAAAGGTGCAAATAGTTCACGGTTGCATTTTAAAAAATATTTATGCACATTGCATTCATTTAGATATATTTTTAAAAAAGTTATGAAAAGCGTAGTTCACAGGTTACTGTTTCTACATATGTTGTAATACAACACAAATAATGTAGAACATAAAAAACAAAGTAAGCAACTGAAAGTTTCCACTATGATTAAAAACACTGATTCCAGTATTTAGTGATAGCTAGAAAATTGTTTCCAGGATCCATTCCGACGTTGCATTATCACACTGACACGGTCAAAGCTAACCAGCCCCCAAACATGCTATAATCAACATTTTTGCATGCCAAACCACTCTCCAGCCATATTTGACAATTTATATATCGTATAATATTTCAACTTGCAATTCGGGAATCACACGGATCTTTTAAATGTATTTCCTATTGCGATGACTGATTTACAGACAAATTTGACACAGCGAAGAAAAACCCTATGTTAATTTCTATGCTCGTTTGTATTTACAATACAGTAAAAGTAGTAAAATGACAATATCAGTAAAAATGAGTAAGTGGCAGTGCCACCCTTACCCATGGCACTAGGCTCTAATTTGCTCTGGGTTCATCCAAAGGACAACACAGATTCATGAGACCCTTTTAAAAGTAAAATGAAAGTGAAGGAAAAAAAATAAGTGTTGCACTCCGTATGAATCCATACAAATTATTTAAAACGTCTAATATGGAAATGTAACTTTGCTGATTTAATAAAAATACCCCACATTCCATATCATATATTTAATAAAAAATAATCACCGAACTTTACCTTTCTTTGTCTGCTCCTATTTTCTTACTATTTCACTTTCCCTTTTATCGGTTTTGTTTCCTTCATTTGGTTATGTTAAGAGATTACTTTTCTTCATTCATTAGCAATACCACAAGGAAAAAAAACAGTAAGTTTTAAACATGAATCCAGTTTAGTTTTTATGCTTTTATCTTTTGATTTCTAAGTCCCTGGATTCCTGAATTATATTTAAGTATACTCTAAACCAAGCATTATTAAATACACTCTACTATTAAATGCTTGGTTCACATGCTTATAATATTTTTATACTGAATGGTATACAAACATTTGAACATATAAAATCTTTTTTTTTGTTGTTTTGCCAGTTAAACTAAATTATCAATGTTAAGTGTATAAAATCCCCTTTCTTGAAAAATAAGGGTATTTCTCCCCCCAACTGATAGAATAAAAAAGAAGTTTTCAAAAATTATATTTCACTAAAATGAAATATTTGGCAAAAAGTTATTGATGAATGGAATTCTTAGACATTTTGTATAATTCCAATAAACTTTCTCTTACACAGTTTTCCCCCTAATATTATGTGCCAGTGTATATTTCTACATGATCTAATCTTAAAAAGACCTACAGGTGTGCTGCTAATATGCCCCCACTCAAACAGGGGGACAGCAACAAAGTATACGGTCAAAATCACAATACAAAAATGGATGATCTGGTCACCAAATGAGACAGCAGTTTAAAAAAAAAGTCACATGGTCACTCAACAGTAACTTCGTTAAAGACTTTAACTGTACGGAAAATTTTTAGGTCTGCAGAATACTCCAAGCGGAACTTGCTGCGATGGTCTCGGATCTTGCTATGATGGTATTCGAGCACCTGCCAGTGGTTGTGTATGAACCTATCGAATGTTTCAGACCCTCATAGCAATTCTGAACACACTTACGTGAGAGATGAATTTATTCGCGATTAACACAGAAACGTTTTATTATTCTTCTTTAAAGCAAAACCTCTTCCAGTTGGTTGTTGTCGCGGTTAAAAGTCCAGTTACTGCACCCCTCCCGCCCCCCCATCACTACTCTGTTAATGGTCAACTTAAATGTTTAAAATGTGCAATGTCTCCTCCCAACAGAACTGCACTTACGCTTCTACTTTCTCCTTCTTTTTATTCTTTTTCAGAAAAGATGGAGTACGGAATTTCTTCTTCTTCTTGGAGGGCGATTTGGAAGGTGACCCCTCAGGGGACAGGGCCTCTTCGATCTTCTCAGAGCTCTTGATGGTGATCTCTACGCTCTCCACAGTACTGCTCGTGGTCAGCTGGCTCACCCTCTTGGTGAGCTCTTCTTCCACGTCGTGCGCGTCGTCTTTGCCATTGACCACCACGACGGGCGCCTCCGCAGACACCAGGTTGGCCCCCTGCGTGTACAGGTCTTCGTGGTTTGCTAGGGGAACAGAGAGTTTGGCAGTGAGATTCTACGTTGTGTGCAGCAAAAAACCGCACCGAAACGCGCACCAGGTGCGAGGCGGGCCTGTGTTGCAAAGAATGACACGAGGCCTTTGCAGATGTGTTGCTTTCTTTATCTGCCCTCTTGCTTGTTGCAAACAGACAAACGCTGTGAGGACGTCGCTAAAGGACAAGGGGCTCCAAAAGGTGACCTCATCTGTCCCAGGTACACACATGGCTGTTCAGTCTCCTGTGCCTCTGGACTGTGTTTTACTGCACGAGAACAGCTCGTGAGAGCACAGCCATTGCACACAGAAACCTGAAATACCAACCTCTAAAAGGTGGTAAAAGTTAGCTCTTTCTGGAAAATTCTTAGCCTAATCATAGCACTTTATTTAAAGGCAATATGTAACTTCCATTTCCCCCATCTCATCAATATCTAAATTTCAGTATGCCATGAGTTATTTTCCATTTGTGAGAATTCCACATGAGGAAAAATTGAGAAAAAAAACAATGAAGTTTTCTGGACAGACTCCCACCTGTGTTCTGGTAAAACTGGGTTCTTTTTTTACCCAGTTGACTTCAAGTAAACGTAAAGAATGCAACAAAGGATGACTCAGGCTTGAGCCACTGGCATTTGACAGAAATTACATGGAATACCTTCTAATTTTTCTGGGACATTTTGCGGGGACTGAGTTTGTGACTGAATTTGTGACACAGATGAACCGTCATCTGAGAATAATTCCTGTTCAGCATCTGCAGGACAAGATGTGAATTAGTAGCCATGCAAAAGTAAAACTAAGGCAAGAATGTCAGTAATAGTGCTACAAGATTTACAGCTCTGCTAGCGTTGTACTCTTCATGCTGATAACCTCAAGAAGTTACAATATGCAGTTTAAACTCTGTAGACTGTGAAATTACAAATGTCATCCATTAACAGTCACTGTGTATTAGTGGTTCCATAGGAAGGGGGGTTGATGAATTCCAGGTAGCCCCATGGTTTTACCTAGCCACAGGCCACAGTTTGCTGTTGTAGGAAATTATTACACCATGCCCTGAAGGAGATATACAGAAAAGTTGTTTTATTACACAATATTAGTGAAGAAGAGTGCATAATAAGTGCAATTGTTAAAAAAACATACACAAACTGAATTAGTCATTCCCTATGCAACAGCAGTATTGGAAAAAATATATAAAGAGGTCATAGCAAAAGTAGTTAAGTTGGGCATTGGGAGAATAATGGAAAAGTTACTGAAATGCTTGAAGAAGCAAAGATAACATTTTGGAAATAAGCAAACACAAGGCTTGTTAAAAATACTGAAATCTGATAGCCAGAAAATGGAGAACTTATCGACAAGGCGGTACCGAATACAAAATATCAGAGTATTTCATGGTCTCATGAGAGCTTCTTCTTGTGCATTCTGATATCTGAACCTTTATTAAAAGAACCCAAGATTTATTCTTTTGCCACGTATTCCTAAGTAAGTGTGCAGGAGGAGTTCTCACAGGCTCGCTGTCACATATCCCTCCCTTTTCAGGTGGAAACGTTCCCAGCGCGGCGGTGCGGCCCTGGGCAGGTTGCTGGTGGCTCCGCGCGGCCGCTCGGCCCTCAGGGGGACAGGGGGGTCCCGAGCGACCTGGCCAGCTCTGAAATTAACTTCGAGCAGGACCTTGGGCTAAGTGACCTTCATGCTCCTCCAAGCCAAGTTATTCCGTGACTCTAACATAAAAACTCACTACGCCAAAGTGTTTTCTCCTCAACCCTAGTTCTGTGCAAAACTTTCCTTAACTTCAGCATTAAGCAAAACCAATTAAAAAAAAAAACCAAGCATTTAACAATTAAAATTCTACATATCTTTTTACAGTATTTTCAAACTACAAAGGAACTGCTGATTGTTGACCTGTAAAGCCCGGCACTAAATGCACCACTGACCTTCCAGCCCCAGCTGCTTGCGCTCCACTGTTTTCTTGTACTCTTCCAGCTCCCGTTCCGTGAGGTGGCTGAAGGGGTTGGGGGGTGCTGGTGGCGCGTGCTCGTCCTCCTCAAACTGCATTGGCTGGAAAAGAGAAAAACACAAATTTTAGCTTTTTTTTTTTTTTTAAAGAAAGAAGGAGGATGTACCTGGTTTATATCGTTTTTGGGACAATTAATTTTAGATGATCCTAGGCACTTATGCTGCCAAAATTTCTTTAGGCATCTGTCATTATTGCAGATGAACACACACACACACACACACACACACAGAGGATAAAACTGACCCAAATAATGGATATTTGCTTAGCAATGAGCAGTGACCACCGAGATGGAAATCACCACTGAATTACATTGGCACAATCACTGTTTGAGTATTTTTCTGCTACAACACCTTCAAAGGGCAAACGTGCTCACAGTTTTGGGACTAGGATATTCTTCAGAGAAATGAAAGTCCTTATACAATATGAATCTAAAAAAAATGTTTCCTGCATTTTTTGGGGAATACCCTAAGTTCTAGGATTTTTTTTTTTGGTAGGAAAATAATGATGCAGTTTAAGACTGCAACTGGAAGAACTTTTGTGAGATGAAACTTCTAATGACAAAATTATTTTCACACTGATTAAACACCTATTTGGAAAATATTCTTTTTGTCTGAAATAAACCATTCAGCTCAGTATTAACTCAAAAGAGTATTGGAAATTAAAATGAAGAAGCAGACACACCCAGGGATGATGCACAACTTTTAGAATTACAGAATTTTGTGTATAATTAAGCATGGCTTCTTAGATACACTAGGGATATTTATACTATTCAGAAATATATTGGTGTGGACAGGTAAGAAACTTCACCAGCGAGTTCCATAGGGAGATAAAAGGGTTATTTTCAGCTCTGTGCTTTAGGAAGTTTGCCATGCTCCAGCTTAAACGGTTTGGGGCCAGATCCCTACTTCATTAATATGAAAGCCAGGGTAACCCACTGCACCCTTTGAAACTAAGATTTTAAACCTCTGAGATTAAAGATGCATCCACACTAATAAAGTGTATCCCACACCCTAAATTTGGTGTTAAAATAACCAGTTCTAATAAATGATTTAAAATAAGAAATAGCCCAAACTGAAGTTTGAAAGAAATACAGCTGAAGTAGCCTGCACGTGTGTGAATCAAGGAATCAAGTCCTACTCACTGGGCTCGGCTTTTTATCCACAACAATCCCAGCAAGCAGCTGGGACTGGGGTCCTGCTGTCTTGAGGTCGTATCTGTTCTGCTCCCGAATCTATAAAGAGAAAGCAAAGGGTGTTAGAAGCAGATATGGGTAGAGCGTTTCCTTCTGTGAACAATTCACTCATTTCCCCCCAAACCAACAGCTATAACTTCATGCTGTCAGTGCTCACTAGACTGGCAGACCAGAAATGAATGCAAAAATAAATCGATAAATTCTACAGCTAAAACCAGTGAGCAGCCACTTAATGAAGCAGTGGTGCTTAAGTCTAAAAGGCACCGTCTGGGACTTGTAGCTTTAATCTCATCAACAGGTACATTTTTTTGTTTTTCCAGCTCTAAGGAAGGCAGTTGCTACTCCTGACTCCAGTTCGATCCCATGGATGCAGTTACAGCTCCTTCCAGTGGAAATTGTCTTCTGTATCTGCTGATACAGCTATGCTTAGGGTGGGGTATTTGGTCAGTCTGACAGCTGGCACCCTATGTGCTTTAAGGGAAAAACAGCAAGATTTTTAGGTGCAGAGAGAGAGTGCTCTAACAATAAACTCTTTTTTTCCCCTCTCTCCTTAACTGCCATTAGACAGTGGACTGGACAACAGAAACTCCAGCACAGTAAGTGCAAATTAATATAGTCTAAGGTCACATCACACTATAAATGATGCAGAGCAATTTAGATTACACCTAATTATCCACTAAACGTATTGCTCAACAGCACAGACTAACATTTCTAGCCTATCATTTCCAGAGTTAATGTGCACATTCACCATCAAAATATATATATTTGTATCTTTATATAGTATTTATATGTATTATGTATTTGCATACAGGTATTTAGTGCCAAAAGCACTTGTAAACTTAGAAATGTTTTTGTGAAATGACTTGAAAATGTTATTTTACTGCTGTGTCAAATCGTTACTTAAACAGATAATTATATTCTGAAATGTTACAGTTTTCTTTGATTCACTTATTTTACCTTATTTCTCTTTTCCAACACTTCGTTTGGATTTGTGTTTAAAGGAACAAATTGGTTGGGATCTTCAATTTTGATTGGTGTCCCTCCACTAGTCTTGGAGGAGTCATCAGCTTTCATCCACTGTAAGAAAGAACACGGCTAGAGATGGCACCATGGGTGAGGGACAATTAGCAGAGAGTTTCCTTATGGCTAGAGAGCAGATGCAAAGAAAGGACTTCCCGACTCGATTCTCAATTCTGCAGGACATTCACAAAATAAAAACAAGCTTGCCCATGGGCACTTAAGTTCTCTTCAAAGGATATGGTGAAGATTACTTTTAATGAGTAGTGAAATAAAAACTCTTGCAAAATGCAATGCAAACTGCACAATAATGAAATATATTTTGAGATGATCACCCTTTCTGGCAACTGCTCTAGAGATCTGCTGACTCCAGAGTCTGTCCCTTCTTATCACTTCATTCATACAATCAAATTCCAGCTCTGCTACTCACAAATTCTGTCTTAAAGATTTTCCCTGGCAAGCCAGGTTTAAATACATCAGTCACAGGGGCGTTCTGTGCAAGCTTGGCTTTAGAGAGCCGCTGGGCTACCGGGAGAGGGAGCTCATGGACTGCGAGGTGCTTCCTGCGCCGGCACCAACTCCAGTGCACGGCCCTGCGCTCGCGGCCTGCAGGAGAGCCGGCTCTGGAACGGCCTGGAAGCGGCTCGGGAAGGCAGGGCAGAAGGTGAACCCTGCTCGTCACCACAAGCAGTAACACGGGCAGACTCCTCAGAGCCTTAGCAGTTTCACAAACACCGGGGAAGCGACAGTGAGAGGAGATTGAAAGCTTGTGTTCTCCTCATGCAGAGATGAGAAGATCCCACAGGTGATGTAAAATCCTGAATAATTAATAGCTTTAAAATATATGGTAGAAAAACTGTTTTCTACTATAGGACTCAGAGGAGCTAGCAAAAAAAAGGTGGGGGGAGATCACTGTTCAGTTTTATCATAAACACTTAATTTTCCAAGCAGTAACATCACCAAAACAGAAGAGGCCTTGGTAGTGAGGCCGTTAAATCTCCCAGCATCCTCTTTTTACCTGCTTGATTAACTGATCTGCTGATCCTGTTAAAGATTTCCTCATACAAAGCAAGTGCAGGTCGCTTTCTCCCAGGCAGAGCGGGAGTACGAAACAACTGCCTCACGTCTCCACGTACCGTGATCTTAGTCCTGGGACTGGCTTCTCCGTTCCACGACTCCTCAGGCACGTTCACTTTCAAGTAGGTATTTGGAGAGTTCAGCCATCTTGTCTTCTCCCTCTGTTGTCTTTGGGCCAGGAATTTGAGGGGGGAGAGCGGGACTGTATCATCTTCGAAGGAGAAGGCCGTCACCGTGGCCGGGATCTCGACATCGCTCTTGTGCCTGGGCTTTTCTCTGACTAGTGGTTGCCTGTAGGCATAGCCAGTTCGGTACCCCTGCGGGGGTGACAGAAGATCACCAACGTGCTGTGCTGCCCTCTCTATATTAAACAGGTTCCCTCAGCGCTTCAAAGAATGAATTAGCGATGTACTTCATCATTAATTCAGCCTATTCTGTTATTTCCCCATTTAAAACACCTAGTCCATTGGACTGGGCTCTGCTCATGCTTCCCTGTTCTAGTCTTTGTGAATGAGTGACCAGGGAACAATCGTCCTGCTTGAGCTGCGACTCGGGTGTCATTGAAGAAGACCTTTAATGACCTTGCACCATGACACACACTAACTTGAGACACCACCCCATTTCTCACTTTGCTGTATTAAAAGGCCCTTCCAGAATTCATAATATAAAAGAGCTATTCCAAACAAGCAATAATTATCATCGTATTTTCTTTTCTCTAGTACACAATTGTACATCAATAAAATATAATATTACAATTAATAACAAAATATAGATGGAAATTTCAAAATCTATTTTCTATGGTAGCGATTGAAAAACATTTGGTTACTACAACGAGAAAACAGTAATGCTGTGAGATGGGTGGGACGAAGTTTAAGTTCAAAACATTATAAATTCTTACGGCGCATTACAGTTTTCAAATAAACTGACATAAAAGCTAAGCCCAACAGCACAGATTAAACCTACTGTAAACATCGCTTCCCCTTCATTTTCAGATTCAAAGAGAAACCAGAAGGAATCATTCTCTATGAGGAATATCCCCCCATATTCAGCAGGCTACAGCATTTTTTGTGCAGTGCCAACACCGTGTTCTTACCAGGTTGTCTAGCATCCTCATGAGAGCCTCAAACTCCTGCTCCCCAACTTTCCACTTCTGCTGGGAGGCCATGTTGACTCCTCCTCCTCCGGCCGCCGCCAGCGCGTGCGTGAGAGGCTTGAACTTCTGCACGTCCAGGACCAGCAGATTGTCCACCCCACCCGCGCCAGCTAATGCGTGCACCTAGGGGTGTTGAAGGATATAGTTCATTTGTGGAGAAAATTTTGGAATTCTCTGGTTGTCTGAATTCTCAAAAACAAAACAAAACAAGCACTGCAAAATCCCATGCTCAGTATACAAGATGCAGTTCTTTCTCAGGCAGGTTTGTTTTCTCCTATGCAAAAACACACTGAAATATAAAATAAATTATTCTTACTGAATGAGACTATCTATACTCTTGGAGTACCCTAAAAAGATTTTTTTTGGCATCATACAACTATTGATATCTTTCATTTTGATTTTGATTTCAAAGCGGATGAGTGACAGAATTCCAAGTGAATGGTAGGGAGATGGAGGAGAGAGAGTGGGGGACTCTCATTTCCCCTTCCCCTCTAAATGCATCCTCGGGAGGACAGAATTGCTAGGGAACAGCAAAGAGGGAAGTGGTGAATTTCTGAGGATGAGGCTAGGATTATGGAAGGTAAGGAGACTTCCAGTGGCATCTCCCTAAACTTACAGATATACCCAGACATCTAAAGAGACAGCAGAAGTCAGACAAAATGGAAACCATTGATCTAGGGACTCTATTTTTAAACATAGCCTCTACCATTCTTCCAAAGACCTTTTCTTTATTTGGTTTTGCAATTCTTTGTGACCACAGACTAAAACTTCTTTTCCCTGTCTGAACATTCTGCTTTGATAAATGAGCTAGACATGAAGGTATCTCAAGTCACATCTCCACACACAATGAGTACCGCTGCATCTTCCCGACACTTCAGAGTGTAACAAGATATATTCTAAGGGAAGTTTGCCCCATTTATATTTTCTTGATAAATCCAATTTCTCTGATTTTCACCTAGCATATTACACTGGATTCCACAACTCTAAACAGTAACATTAGAGATTTTCCCATCTGGGATTTAATCCATAATGCATCAGCACAAGCTTTCGGCACCAAATACTGACAAATTCTCACCTGTGTTTCACAGGCCAGCTGCACATTGAAAATATAGTGAAATGCTTCTTCCAGTGACTCTCCCAGGGCTACCACACCATGGTTTCTCAAGACCAATACCTAGTAAATAGAGACACTGATGTTAAATGGTAGAAACTGGCACAGTGCATGAAAATTGGTCATGAAAAACATGCAGGAGGTTGAATACCTTGCAACTGGGTCCAAGCACTTTTTGAAGCTGAATTCTCTCTTCCTGCTCATCAAGAGACCCCTGGTAATTGTAATAAGCAACATCTCCCAGAATCAGAGCCTCTTGTGATATGGGAAGGATACCACATTTCATTGACGAAACCTGTTTCAAGAAAATGAAGCACTGATAAGTAGAGACAAAAACTCACCATCTTTAAAAACCCTTTTTCTCCAAGGGCCTTCCTAGACTGTAAATTACATCTTTGCTAGGAAAGAGAAAACCTCTCCATAATATAAGTTGAGAAACAATACCTTAATGCTTTACCTGGTGTAGCTTCCTGTAGGGTTACAGAGCTGCTGTTACTTAGGAATGGATTTATGATAGGAGAGGACAAATTATCCCAAAGTATTTTCTGTGAATTTCACCCATATTTAAATCTCATCATATATCTACACAGTACTTTTTCATGCTTTCCTGCTGTTTTTAACTAAAATGCTGGTATATAAAAAAAGGAATATATATCAAAAAGTGAGTTAGCCCTTCCTTTTTCTGTCTCTAGCAAAGGAAGGCACATATATAAATTCATATACAATAATATAACATGGAATTTATTTATCTTGAAGCAACTCTTTTAAGTCTCCTTACATTTTCATTGTGGTCCAGCTTAGATCTCTACTTAATTGTGCCATAATTATAACCTATCTTTTAACTACTACTTTTTAAATAGGGAGGTAAATCAGTACTGAACTACTAGTACAGCCATTTAAAAACAGAAATTGCATAATCCAAATGACAATGTACCTAGTACATTATATGCTAGGAGATGCTATAAATAAAGATCGTGCGAACCGTATACTTTACTGCCTCCTCAACCTGAGTTCCATCATATCATATCTGCTCATCTTTTCACTGTGGTGACCCAGCCCTCCTCCTCTGCTGATTTTGTAACCTCACAGAATCAGCCTTTTCTATCAGTGTAGTCATGAATAACTAGTCGGATGCTAAAAACAAAAAATAAAACTGTTGTGAGCAGTGATTCAGCTGCAGAAAGCTGATCTAAGCTCCCCAGTGAACTTGCTTTCTTTTGCACTTCACGCTGGAAGCAGGAGGACTTACAGCTGCTGTTGCAGGGGTGTGTATGTGTATCACACATCTCACGTCTGGTCGTGTGGAGTAGATGGCCACGTGTGGACTGAATCCGGCGCTGTCAATACTTAGAGTTGTACTTCCCTGGTCAACTACGTCTCCTAGGATGTTTACCTTGACCTGCAAAAACCAAAGGAACAAAGTGCAGGAGATCTGCTACTGCTGCAGTTGCCTGAACCCTCCGTCCCTTCTCTGTGCCTCCTCCCATGGCCAAAATTTCACCTGCATTTTCTGCACTTTTAGGGATCTGTGCACAAAACAAACACACAAAAAAGAAGCAGAAGAGCAGAACAGCCATGAATCTGTGGTCAACAGACCACCCTAATGTCCAAAATTTTGCTAACTCTTAAAAGCCCAGCCATGGAAAAAGTAAAGATGAGACCCTGATATATATATCCCTCTTTGGTTCAGCTCCATTTTTGTATAAAAGAAAGTCTCGGCACCAAGACCAGCTGTGTGTAAAAACAAAAGATTTGTTTCAACCAGTAAGTGTATTTTTATGTCTATAACATCGTCCAACTGAAGTGAAAAAGAAGAAAAAACATCATCAAAAATGTCAAGTGAATTATATGCTCATGGAACCCATTAGCTAACAGCTTTATTTCTTTTTAGTGAGGTATCTCACTTTCACATTTTAAAATTAATTTTATTTGCTTTTCCTACATTTTAAACTTGAAGAAAATCAAGCTTCTGAGAAATTTCCAATAAGCATGTTAAATGCATAAGGAATTAAAAATAACGAATTACAAACTGCTTGGAATGTTAAAAAAAGTTACTCATGGCCCAAGCAAAACAACAGCTGCACATCAAGTCTTGCTTTCATGTTTGTACTTTGGGTCTAGCTTTGTTGGTCCATGATACCAATCTCAATTGGCTGCTCCCTTCCAACAACAGGTAGTTTCTTCACAGAAACATCCTGACACAGTGCAGCTTCTATGCCAAAAGCAGTATGTTTTAGCAGCCGGAAATTCCCAAATGCCACTCTATAACTTTATCCCTGATCCTTCTTGAGCCTGGAAAAGATTATTCAGTGCTCTTGCCCCACTTATAAAGATAAGAGCTGATTCTAGTAACACTCTTCCTACAAAGCAGTTTCGTATATATTACTATATCATCACATTATAAAAGCTTGCTGTTACGCCAAGTCTATTTGATTAGCTTCAGCAGAGAGGAAAACAAAGCTCTGCTGCTTCACATCAAAGCTAAGCTGGAGACAAAGCACCAGAAAGCAAAGCTAAACCCAAACAGAAATGCCCAGGACAAAGGCCTGTATGATCCAAATAGTTAATCAGCTTTTCATCTGCTGGGCAAACATTAAAAACAAACAAAAACATGATTACAGGTTAGGAGTCCGTGTTAGAGGCCACAGAAGCCTTTTAGAAAACAGGTTGAGCCTTGGTGGGTATCGGTGTTGGTGAATCACATACCAAATTAGAAGCTGATGCTTCAGAAAAAGAGAGACCTCTTGGAATGATTAGAATGTGGTCATGCTCTTTGCTTACTCTTACCTATAAAGGAAGAAAAAAAAAAGAGATTACTGATCTATTTTTGAGTTTGTATTAAGCACATGGGAGGGAAGAACTTAAATAAATTATTACATGAATTGAAGGAAAAGGTAAAGTCCCAAATTAAAAAAAAAATCTCTAAATTACTTACTGTGATATAGGAGTTTGGCAAATGTGCCCACCCAAACAAGTCGGCCAATCTGTATAAACTGGCTAGCTTGCAGCGAGTGAGTTTTTCTCCCTTAACGAAGGAGGAGGTATCGATTCCAGCTAGGTCGTTGATGGGTGTAACCATTCCATGGCCTGCAAACACACAAGCAAACAGTGGTCAGTCAGACAATTCATTTGAGGTTATGGCAAGGTTCTCCAGAAGCTCTGTATTTAACATGGTTACCTTAGCAGTACCACCAACTACCACACTGGAAATGCACTTCTGTATTTCTAAGGTCTTCATCAAAACCCTCTGTGAATTTAAGACAGTAGGAACCATACCTTGAAATTATTAAGTCTCTAATGTCTGCAGGGCTATTAAAGAAGTGATATAAAGGCCTGCTTTTAAATACCTTTGAACTTCACACTTTGAACTCTTTCCTGCCCCCAGATGCTATGTAAGGATTGAGCGATGCTTTAAGACATTTGATACTAATCAAGTATTTTTACATGTTACTTTGAAAACTGAAGGAGAAAACACCTCTGCTGGACTCCAGACACCGATATAAATAACAAGAAGGAACATCTCAGTCCGAGTCCTTTAACTCAATACTAAGGGAAAAGTAAGAACTAGTGCAAGAATTCTCCAACTGTTGGACGAAATGATAGGTCTTAACAGAGAAAACACATTGAAGATCAATTTATGTGGAAAGTACTTCCAGAAAATGATTTTTTTTTTTTAAACAAGGAGAGTTTGCACTTCCAGATTAGCCATCCTGGCCGAGTCCCTGGACCAGTGTTGTGGAGACAACAGTTGGACCTGTGATCTCTCCAGCAGGCCCCACCGCCCAGATAAGGCTATCTGGGTTCTCCGCTAGTCTCCTCCACTTGCCTTATGAATTCTGCAGAGTCAGTTGGGGATTAGTTTCCAAAAGGTGCTGAATATCAGCAGTTGCCTTTTCATAATTTAAATGCAAGAGTAGAAAAACAATCAGAATCTAGAATGGTGTGTTTCACATCTCAGTTTATGTAAACTGCTAATAATGATGTGCTGCATTTTGTTCTCTGTCTTCATAAAAAATTCATTAGCAAACTCTAGAGTAACCTATTGTCAAGACTCAAGACATTTTGGATAGCACAGACACAAATCAAAAAATATGGGAGAGAGGCTGAAAAGGACAGGTCTTCAAGCCTAGCATCGGTATTGCTTTACAGCTCAAATGGCCTCTGACAGAACTTTTGTACCAAAGAAATTCCAGCATGGATAAACCTGGCGTTGATGGAAAAAAAAAAGAAAAAAGAAAAGAGGAAAAAAGGCAATTATTCACATAGTTCACTTACTGAGTGAAGATGAGGAAAAACCTGCAAAAGAGCTTGCTGTAATGTAATCAGCAATCTGCTGTAGCGCAAGCAGTCCAGTTGGGTTATTGCCCTTCTTCATCTGTTCTTGAATAAGGCATTCCAAATCTTCTCTAAAAGCCTGTGGAAACATTTGAGAATCATCAAGGAAACCTGGCTTTGACAGAAATAAGATTACTATAGGTGGGGCTGGTAGGTTTGTCTGTTATTAATGTTACATGACACTTCCCCTTAGACCTTGTTTTTATCTGCTTAGAACTTTGCCAGACTTTAACCATCTGGTCTACAACTTTGTATGCAAAGTATTGGCTTTTGGGAGGAGTGGGAGGGAGGGGAGGCTCTGTGGCTCAGCCCCAGAGGGTTAGCTATTTCCTAGGGAGACAAAAAAACCCGCAAAATATATTTTTGCAAATATTAACAAGAACGTTTATAGCAATAATTAAAGAATTCTCATAGTTTGGAAGATGTTCTTGAAATTTGACCAAGATTGGTTGTTTTTAATGCTGGATATATTTTCTTTTTGATTCTATAATCTCTCTGAAAATCCATCCACGTTTGATAGAGTCATGAACAAATGGAAAACTGGAGTTCAACCATGGTCAAGCACAGATATGAAAAAATAGAAGAAATGCCAGCACGCCACCTCCTCTCTAATTTGTTCCTTCTGTAAAAGAGAGAAACTCTTCCCTCTTCTCACCAGTACTAATGTCGACAAGCCCAGCAGCTAAACTCTTGCAGACAATAAGTGTGAAAAAGGTTTTTATGCTATTAAATCTAATACGTTCCATACCACAGACAAAGCCTGTTTCTTTTAGGCAATAGGAAGGCTAATGACTGCTCAGAACACACACCTGTTTAAAGATTCCTACAGCCTCCTTCAGTCTTGAAATTCCTGGACTAAATAAATTCATGTCTTTTAAACTTTCTGTAGAGGTTCTATTTTCTAAACCTCATTATTCTTCGGCAGTATCCTCCTGCTTTTCCCTTTAACACACTTGTTCCTTCCAGTTTACCTCCCTCGCTGGAGTACTTGGACTCAGGAAAGCGTTCTGTAAAGCAAATGCTGCTTCTTCAATCTACTCACTGAATTTTAATTCTGTCCTCTACAACACCCACTTTGTTGGGTGAAACTCAACCCGTTTTGTAACACACTCTCTCATATAATCAAAACTGTTGAACAGGCTGAGGACCACGGGACCCCACAGCCATGCACAAGACCCTATGTGACCCTATGCATTGGAGAGCTGAGCACCAGGAACTACCCTTGAAATGTGTTTTTAAGACTTTTGTGCTCCTCCTTCTGAGTAATTTTGCTAAGATCACATCACCTGGGGCTTCTGCAGAGCAGACCACATGAACAACATTCCCATAAAACTGCTATAACTTATCACAAGTGTAAGGTAGACACGAAAAGTCTGATTTTTCCCTCTGTAGAGGCTCTGCAGGGCTAAGATCGGACAGGATGGGAAACCGGAGCCTCCTGGCGCTCCCGACCGATTCGCTGCTCCCTCTGTTCTGGTCGGGAAAGGGGAATTCACATCTGGGTGCGAGGGGCAGGCAGCAGATGGGGAAAAGGAAGGAAGAGGAGTGGAGAGAAGGAAGAAAGGGACAAACTGGGAGGAAAGAAGTGGAGCTATGGGAGGTGGATCAGGGGGAGGTAAGGGCCATGGGAGGTAATTGCTGGTAAAGCGAACAAAAAATGGAAATGGAGGGCAGGAAAATGGCGGCAAACGTTTGGGAAAACGAAAGGGGCCAAGAGGCTGACAGGCAAAGGAGGAGAAAACGTGAAGCGGGGCACGGGGCTCAGCAAAGAGCCTGGATACGACTGATGCTTCTCAGCTCATCTTGCACACATGCAATGTGCACGGGGACCAGGGTCACCCCGGCCTCACGCCTCGCTTAGCGCCCAGTGGCTAATTCTCTCTGAAAAAGTGGAAATTTAGTGTTTTATCATCTTCCCACTGTTTAGTACTCGGCCCTATGCTTTTCCTGAACGCTATTCATACCCTGTTGAGATGACAATTATTATTTATCTGACAAGCTTTTCTCCGGGGCAGATAATTACTATAAATCCAAACGCTTCACAAGCATTAACTTACTAATCCTCACAACATGCCTCCAAGGTGAAGCACGGCACTGGCACCATTTGCACAGAATGGGTGGAAGAGAGATTGAGGTCAAAAGATGGCAGTAATTTAGGGTACTCGCTCGGAGATGCCGAGGGCCCGATTTCCAGAGTACTTAGCACTAAGCAGCTTTTTCCGCACCCAAAGCACAATTCTCAGAGTAACTTCAAAAGCTGCTTGGAGTGTTTAATCCACTGGAAATTACATCTCAGGCCAACAAGTTGGATACACAGAAAAACAAAATTAAAAAAAAAATCAATTATTTCTCAGTTGTTATTCAAAGGCCCCTACAAAAGAACTCTGCCATTTCACACTGTGGGAAAGTGAAATGGGGAGAGTTTATACTTTCATTTGGATAACGGGAAGCCACACATTTGTAGTCTCATGGAGGCGGTGTGGAAGCTGCAATCTGAAATGTGCTTGTTTGGGAGAAGAGGGAGAAAAAACAGTTATTTCTATTACGTTAAAGTCACCTCTACTTCAGGTCAGCAAGGACTATGAAAAGGATCTGCAGAAGTCTTCTCAGTAAACTCTTCTTAATCTTAGTCAGACTGAATTTTAAAACTTTTGTAAGTAACTTTGCAATAGATTTCACATCTTTTTCCTCTCAAGCATCCATAGCAAAAAAATGGCAGTAAAATGCATTCTGGACATTTTTTCATGGAAAATTTTGTCTTTTAAATTGTATTCTTAGTTCTTTTGCTTTCTGATTGAGATGTTTTCATTCTTCTGAGCTCGGTTTTCTCTCTGATGTGAACAACAGTATATTTTACACTCTCTGAGGTTGTTTTTAGTGCTGTATCAACCATTTTGTTAAACTCAGCAACCTTCCCTTAAAAATTGCTTCCAAAATATCAGCAGAGAGGTAGGCAGAGCAGCTAGGCAGCCTTTGGACAAACTACAAAACAGAGGTGAAAACGGGGAGCAGCTTTTGCAGCCGAACGCAGCAGTGCAGGCCGTGCCCGCGCGCAGCCGCGATGCTCTCGTCACGCGGATGACCCGCGCGCGTTCCTCCATGCACGGTTACGAATTTGAGCGCCTCCACACTCGCTCCTTCGGCCTCCTGTCTGGCTGTCCCTCCCGTCCGCAGCGCTGAGGATCCTCTCCTCCTCACGGTGCTGTGCTGCCCCTCAGATAAGCGCTCGACGCGGGCACGCAGAGCCTTGCTCTGGAGCTGATAGCGCTGGGAGCAGCGGTTCGGACCAACAGCTCCGCGTTCCTCTGGAGAACAGCGTCCCTTACGTGCTGGCCAGCACACGAGCCACCTCTATTGGGGTTCATGGCTTTTTTCTCACTGGTCTCTAAAATCACTGCTGAGGTGGGCTCTGATTTGGAGTTCTGACCCATTCAGCAGCAAGAAGGTGCTTCTGAAAAGCCCCAAGTGCAGCCTGGGGCCCAAGCGCTTTGGTTTTGCTGCAGGCCACGGGGCTGCACTGGAAGCCGTGGGATGTTACCTTGCCACAGCCCACAAGTGACCCAGCAAAAGCCACACTCAGGGTGCACAAACGCTCTGCTCCAGCACAGGGCAGGGATTTCTCAAGGGGAGAGGTCCCTGGTGATCTACACTCTAGTACTCAACAAGAAAACGCTGACTAAGGAAAACAAATTGCTGTCAGATGAATGAAATAATTTATTCAGCTGTTCGCTCAGTATTGCTCAATAAAGAGAAAGTTTCAGCTCTGGGATTTAAGTCATTTCTAAAGATAAATGTGTGTTTGTACTTCCTCATACATGCAACTTCCAGATACATAAACCTAAGCACAATAATAAGTGGTTTAGGTACACATTTTTTTAACTTGCACCTGTAAGGGTTCTCTGAAACAGTGAAGCCACAAGCCTCAAGTCTTAATCATTTACTTATATTTTTGGAAAGAAAATATATTAAATGTAAGCTGACAGTGCAAAATCAGGGCTTTTAGAAAACAAAGTAAATGTTTGCAATTATTACTTGACAACAGGTACGTTTTTAACCAACAGAAGCAGACAAACTAGAGTATCTACCTAAAATAGCCTATAACATATTATTGTTCTCTCCTATAGATATTTTATTAAAATTTGAGTATTAGTCTGTTCACCTTGACAGACAGTTCTCTGAAGACATGATGATACATACAAGCTTATAGATATTTAGACTACCTTTCTATGTTGTTTCATGGCTTTCAATCATTGATTTCTACATGTAGGACTCACGTACTTAACAGAACTACAAACAAAATGACACGACCCTCCCATTAATACAGCAAACAGAAGAGCATAGAGGTCACCTGCAAATACATGAAGCCACAGACTACGCATACGTTCACATCAGGACTAATTATATCATGGTCCAAACCAAACAGCGTTTGATACACCAGTCTATGGGACTAGAATAACGAGGAAACACAAATGAGGTTCCTAAACTTACCAACAGTAATGATACGGCCTGAAAGCTAATAATGTGAAATGCAATATCATGCAAAAAATATTGCAATAAAGCCCTTTATAAATTTTCAATTTTGTCCATTTTTGATCAGTTTATATATTAATATGTATTTTTTAAGAGTATAACCAGCCATACCTATATCCATGTGTGCCTGCACACATTCCCACATACGCATCAAGGAATAGTTTCAAACCTGAGCTGGTATCTTGTTGTCGGGGCTGGAGAGCCGGGGCTGCCCGCGCGTCGCTCCGTGGCCCTGTCCGGGACGCGGTTGTGCACAAACAACCCCAGCTGGGAAAAGGGTGGAGCTGGCCGCAAACAACCGCCAGCGGGTTCAGGCTTGCAGGGAAAAGATAAGAAACTCTAAGAAAAAAAATGGCTTCTAGGTGAAGGCCGAAAGGAACAGACTCACCTATAAATACTGGGAATTGGATAAAGCTGCCGCCGTATCTACGGAGGAGGCTGCAGCGAAGCCTGGGCTGGATTTGGTGAGTGGCTCAGGCAGAGCAGAGCTGTCCCCAGACACAGGTCTGTGGCCACGACAGGCCGTCTGCACCAGCTCTGGGGCCAAAG